TATAATTTAATATAATATAATATAATATAATATAATATAATATAATATAATACAATTTAACCCTCTAGTGCCCAGAGTGCCATATCTGGCACATGTCAAATAACCAGCTTCAGGGGAAACAATAATTTTTGTTATGTTCGGTAATTTCATGAGGTAGGTAACTGGAGAATAATCCTCTGAGTGCCCTTGGAGGATTTTTTTCAGCAATAATTTCCCCTTTCAACTTCCTGTTTTTTACCACCACTTGTGGTTGCATTTTACCATGTTTCAGCGAATTATTGAAAGAATGCTTAGCTATCGGAAGGGCTAATTATAATGAAAATCCCCCCCGCCTTTCTCCACACTTTACCCGGAAGTTCTGAAGTCTGGTAGAACAAAAAAGTCTGTTGCATTGCAAGACAAGAACGGAAAATTTTAGAAATTCGCTTTTGCCACACGTTTTCAGAAAATTGTCTTAAGAAAGAGTCGCAGAAATGAATTTTTGTATGCATGGAAGTATACATGACGTGTATGTGTGTATACGTGGGTGGGTGTTGTTGTGTACGTGTGTGTGCTTGTGTGTGTGTTTTTGTGAGTGTGTATGTGTGTGTGTGTGTGTGTGTGTGTGTGTGTGTGTGTGTGTGTGTGTGTGTGTTTGTGCTTGCTCGCCTGCGCGTGTGCTTGCTAAAGTACGTAAGTTCTTGGGCGTGCATAAGTTTGGGTGTAGCCTATGTGTGTATGTAAGTGATTGTGAGAGGTTGATGAATTAACAAAACCTCTGCTTTGTATTACTTGTACCACGACTACTATAATAATATTCACAATTTTTGTTATTACTTTATTGCCTTTCTAAGCAACTTATTGTATTATGCCAAATTTCCTGTTTTTTTAAATAAAGTGTATAAGGGGGGCTCTAGTGGCCTAGAAGTTAAGGTGCTCGCCTCTCATTCAATAGGTCCCGGGTTCGAGCCCGGATAGCGACGGAAATTTTTCTTCTCTAAATTGTCTCCTTTCACCTCCTTTCCTACTCTCTAGCAATGTTCTGTCGTCTTCTTTGGTCTCCACTTTCTCCACTCAACTCCTTTGCCCCCTCCTCTGGGTTCCTGACTCTTTCTGCAGCCTGTCTACTGCTACTCCTTTGCTCCTTCTTACTGCTGTCTTTCAGCCATACCCGTGACCTTATGGTTGGAAAGATCTACACCCAGCCTTCCCTGATAAGGGCGACAAATCTTCTGTGAGCACGTTTGGCACGTTAAAGATCCCCTGGTGGTCCAAAATCAATAAGAGTACGCTTCGGCGCCACCCGGGCAAAATTCGACATTTCCTACCAACTGAAAATGATTTGTGTCCCGCGCACTCATATGACGTGCTGCGAGCACCAAAAATCAATTATCAAAAAAAGGAGGTGAGGGGATAAGGGAGGAAAGTGGAGACGAAAGCAGACGACAATATATTTAAGAAAATAAAATTTGGCGCCTCTTAACATATATGAAACTTAAATACATTAGCGTTAGATGATGCAGAATTTATTTAGCTTTAAATTGGTATGCTGCATGAGCGGGTAGTACAAGGCTTTTACACGATAATAGGGTGATTATATTTCCACGTTTTTTTTGGGGGGGACGCCACTATATATATATTGTTTTTGTGTGTTTTCTGATGGAACTAAATTTTTGACTAGCTAGAACTTGTTTGATCTTACACCCCGTTGCTCAAAAATAGGTTTGCCGACAACTGAGACCTTTCTGCGGGCACACAAAACATCATTATTTTTTTAAAAATTCCCTTGCCCATTTATATGAGATTGACGCCATCTGATTAGTAGAAAAAAGTGCATACGATTGTGTCCAATAGTGTATTACATGCATACTTAG